TCCTCCTCCTCCTCCTCCTCCTCCTCCTCCTCCTCCTCCGCCCCCTCCTCCGTCCTCCTCCGTCCTCCCCCTCCCCCTCCTCCTCATCCTCCCCCCCCCTCCTCCCTCCTTTTCCTCCTCCTCCTCCTCCTCCTCCTCCTCCTCCTTCTCCTCCTCCTCCTCTCCTCCTCCCCCTCCCCCCCTCCCCCCTCCTCCTCCTCCTCCTCCTCCTCCTCCTCCTCCTCATCCTCCTCCTCCTCCTCTCCCTCCTCGCCCTCCTCCTCCCTCGCCTGCCTCCCCCTCCTCCTCCTCCTCCTCCTCCTCCTCCTCCTCCTCCTCCTCCTCCTCCTCCTAACCATCACGAACCAGAAACGAATAAAACCAAAATGCCTTCCCGAATAAAACCAGAACGACGTCCTTATGAAAACCCACTCTCAAGTGGACCAGAGGGCCACGATCCTCGTGAGGGGTGGTCGGGCATTGGCCGTCGGTGGGCCGTCGGCAGCGCTCCACATTGGGCCAGGGCCACGATCCATGTGAGAGGCGCGCCGAACTTCAGCGTCGGGCGGCGATCCAAATGTGGCGAGGTCTACGATCCGTGTGAGGGGTGCGCCGATATTGCTCATCGGTGGGCCGTCGGCAGCGCTCCCAAGTGGGCCAGGACACGATCCTCGTGAGCGGCTTGCCGGAATTGGACGTCGGTGGGCCTTCGGCAGCGCTCCAATTGGACCAGGGCCACGATCCTAGTGAAGTGCGCGCCGGAATCGCGCGTCGGACGGCCAGGCCCACGATCCTCGAGAGGGTTGTGCCGAAATGAAGGGGCTGGCAGTGGCGGTTGCTCCAAATCCGGCGTCGACACGAAGGACAGGTGTAAAACTGCCGTTCTTGTTCACTTTTAAATGCGAATCCAATCTACAGCCTCCACAGCGAATAGTGCACGAAGGTAGGCATTGGCGCGAAAGACACGAAGGCCAGGTTTGAAACTACGGTTTTCGTAATTCCCCTTGTAGGAGTTATATTAGGCCTGATACAAAAGAAGAGTACACGAATGTGAGGTTTGTAGCGACACGAAGACCATGTGCACCCCTACTACTACTACTACTACTATTACTACTACTACTACTACTACTACTACTACTACTACCACTACTACTACTACTACTACTACTACTACTACTACTACTACTTCTACTACTTCTACTACTACTACTACTACTACTACGACGATACGACGACCATTGCGACTACGATTTCTACGGCTACTTCCACCACTCCTACTACGACTTCTGCTACAACTACGACTACTACGATTACTACTACTACTACTACTACTACTACTACTACTACTACTACTACTACTACTACTACTACTACTACGACTACGACTACGACTACGACTACGACTACGACTACGACTACGACTACGACTACGACGACTACTACTACTACTACTACTACTTCTACTGCAATCGTTATTATTTCTGCTATTACCACTCTTACCGAAACAAGTTCTAATGCTACTACGAGGCTGCAGTTGTATCACGCAGTAGTGCCAGCAGTAGTTAATCCACACGTACCAAGTAGAAGCATTCTCACCAATCGTTCTCAAATGGTACTACTCCGCAGTAGTACTCGTACTACTGAGTACTACGACGCTGGAGCAGTAGGAGTATTCCTAGTCGAATGAGCACGCACAGGGTTTGCACGAGCACCACTCCCACGACTGGTACTTGTATCGCCAGAGCTGCTACGCTAGCATGACTTGAACAGGACGTCGTGTTGCTAGTTTTACCACTGCCAGTCATCCTGCTCATCCTTTTCTTGCTCGTCGTCCTCTTGCTCCTACGAGTATTAGTCTCACTACCACTACTCGCAGTACTCCTTCTAGTGCTAGAACATCTGTTAGTAGTTCTACTCCTAGCTGCAGCAGCAGCAGCAGCAGCAGCAGCAGCAGCAGCAGTAGTAGTAGTAGTAGTAGCAGCAGTAGTAGTAGTAGTAGTAGTAGTAAGTAAGTAGTAGTAGTAGTAAGGATAGTAAGTAGTAGTAGTGTAGTGTTTTAGTAGTAGTACTAGTAAGTCAGTAGTAGATAGTACGTAGTGTAGTCAGTAGTAGTAGTTAGTAGTAGTAGTAAGTCATAGTAACTAGTCACCTCTCAGTCGTAGTAGTACGTAGTAGTCCAGTCGTAGTCGTCGTCGTAAGTAGTACGTCAGTAGTAGTAGTAAGTCGTCAGTCATACACAAAGTAGTAGTAGTAAGTAGTAGTATTTATAGTAGTAGTAGCAGCAAGTGGTGGAGTAGTGGTAGTATAATTAATGAGTAGTAGTATTAGTAGTAAGTAGTAGTACTAAGTTTATTAGATAGTCAGTAGTAAGTATAGTATTAAGTAGTAGTAGTAGTCGTAGTAGTAGTAGTAATAGTAGTAGTAGTAGTAGTAGTAGTAGTAGTAGTAGTAGTAGTAGTAGTAGTAGTAGTATGTAGTAGGTAGTAGGTCGTAGGTCGTAGGTCGTAGGCAGTAGGCGGTATGTAGGTAGGTAGGTAGGTCGGTAGGTAGGTAGGTAGGTAGGTCGGTAGGTAGGTCGGTCGGTCGGTCGGCGGCGGCGGTCGGTAGTAGTAGTAGTAGTAGTAGTAGTAGTAGTAGTAGAGTCGTAGTATTAGTAAGTAGTAGAGGAGTAGTAGTAGTAGTAGTAGTAGTAGTATTAGTAGTAGTAGTATAGTAGTAGTAGTAGCAGCAGCAGTAGTAGTAGTAGTAGTAGTAGTAGTAGTAGGTGTAGTAGCAGCAGCAGCAGCGCAGCAGCAGCGCAGCAGCAGTAGTAGTAGTAGTAGTAGTAGTAGTAGTAGCAGTAGTAGTAGTATAGTAGTAGTAGTAGTAGTGGTAGTAGTAGGAGTAGTAGTAGTAGTAGTAGTAGTAGTAGTAGTAGTAGTAGTAGTAGTAGTAGGAGGAGGAGGAGGAGGAGGAGCAGGAGCAGGAGTATGAGTAGGACTAGGTTTAGGAGTAGGCGTAGAAGCCGTAGTAGTAGTAATAGTAGTAGTAGTAGTAGTAGTAGTAGTAGTAGTAGTAGTAGTAGTAGTCGTAGTCGTAGTCGTAGTCGTAGTCGTCGTAGTCGTAGTCGTAGTAGTAGTCGTAGTCGCAGTCGTAGTCGTAGTAGTCGTAGTCGTACTAGTAGTAGTAGTAGTAGTAGTAGTAGTAGTAGTAGTAGTAGTAGTAGTAGTAGTAGTAGTAGTAGTAGTAGTAGTAGTAGCAGTAGTCGTAGTAGTAGTCGTAGTAGTAGTAGTAGTAGTAGTAGTAGTCGTAGGAGTAGGAGTAGGAGTAGGAGTAGGAGTAGGAGTAGGAGTAGGAGTAGGAGTTGGAGGAGAGGGAGGAGGAGGAGGAGGAGGAGGAGGAGGAGGAGGAGGAGGAGGAGGAGGAGCGTTCGCGTGCGGACGCTGGAGAGGCACAGGGTGGTATGGGGGGAGCAGGAGGAGCGGGGGGGCAGCAGCCCGCTCGGTCGCGATTGTCGCCTGTGCGGGTGGAGTTCACGCCAGGGGGAGCTGCTCTCCGTCAGGCTCGCCCCGAGAAGTCCCTACTGAAGGGGTTGTGACCCTCCTCGTTCCTCTTGCGTTGGCTCCCCCCTCGATTCTGCCATCTTCCCTCCCTGCTCCCTCCACCCTTCTTCCCTCCTTCCTTCTCGTTCCCTTCCTCCCTCCTCTTCCTCCCCCCCTCCCTCTGTCTACTTTGCATTATTCGTCCCTATTCCCTTGCTCCCCCTTCCCCCGTCTAGTTCTCCTCCTCCCTCCCCCTTTCCTTCCTCCCTGGCCCCTTCCTTCCTCATCCCTTCCTCTCCCTGGCATCCTCTCCACCCTCTGTCTCTTCGCCATCCGTTCCCCCTCCCTCCGACTGCTCCATCTCCCCCGACCGTCCTTCCATCCCCATGAGGAGGAAATGTAGACGGAGGCCCTCGGAGACCAGAAATGATGTGGGTGGAGGGGACGGGGGGGATCATGGAGAAGCTCGTGCGGAAAGGCAGGCGGAGGCCGTGGAAGACCAGGAACATGCGGGTGGCGAAAGAGAGGGATACCGAGGGGAAGGCGGAGTAGCTCTGGCGGCGGTGGGGGATGAGGCTGAAGGAGCCGAGTGTGGGCGGGAGGCGGGGGGAGGGAGACGGCGAGGGTCGTGCAGGTGCGCACAGGGGCGGCAACGGACCCCGACGTCCGCCGGCTTGCCTTTTTGAATCCGCGGCCCCTCTACTCCTCCTCTTACTGCTCCTCCTCCTCCTCCTCCTCCTCCTCCTCCTCCTCCTCCTCCTCGATCGTCTCGTCTCCGGCCGTCTCCCCAGGGGTAGTTGTTCGCCCTGGATCCGCACTTGGTGGCCCCAGACCGCGGAACCACTGCCGGTTGCAAGTCGTAGCAGCGGAGATCGCTTGGTCTGCCGGCACCGGCCGGGACGACCTGGATACCTCTCTGGGACGCCTCTCGGCGAGGCGCAGCCGCTGGAACACATCCCGAGGCTGGACATCCGCCGAGATCCAACGAACAGGCTTGTCAATCGAAAGGGAAGCTTGAACCCAACATCGACGCCCAAATCGTGGAAAATCCGATGGCATGGAGAACGCCAGATCGCCAGAGATTAGGGCCGCGCGCTCCGAATCCCTTGGCCGCCTCGGCGCCGTCGTCGTCGTCGTCCTCATCTTCGGCCTCGTCCCTGTCCTCGTCGCCCTTGTCGTCCTTTCCGCCGTCGTCCCTGTCGCCCGTGTCGCCGTCGTCCTCGTCGCCTCTCGTTGTCGTTGTCGTCCCAGGCATGCGGCTGCTCCAATGTTTTCGACGCGTGGGCCCCGGAGGTCCGGACCACCTCCCCGGGCCCGGTTTTCCGTCTGGAGTTGTTCTTCGCGCTCCCTGGGCCCGGCGAGGGCCACCGGAGGCCCAAGTATGCCAGCATCCCGCCGCTCCAAGTTCTACGGAGCGTCGGATCTCTGGTTTTTTTTTCTCCTCGTCCTCGTCCCTCTCGTCCGCCGCGGCCCGTCGCCCGCCAAGAAATTCTGCTTAAGGCGGCGACCGCGCGCGAGCCGGAGCAGCCGCAGCCCGCGGGGGGCAGCGGTGCCCGGGGCGGCACCCCCGACGTCGCCTCCACCAAGGCGGGCGTCCCAGCCGACGGCGACGGCGACGGTGACGACGGCGACGACGACGACGACGACGACGACGATGATCGACGACAGACGACAGACGACCGACGACCGACGACCGACGACCGACGGCGACGGCGACCGACGACCGACGACCGATGACCGACCACCGACGGCGACGGCGACGGCGACGGCAACGACGACGGAAGAGCGGCGGCGGCGACGACAGCAGACGACGACGACAGACGACGATGAAGACGACGACGATGACGCCGACGACGACAGACGACCGACGACCGACGACTGACGGCGACGTCGACGGCGACGGCGACCGACGACCGATCGACGACGACGACCGACGACCGACGGCGACGACCGACGACCGACGACCGACGACCGACGGCGACGGCGACGGCGACGGAACAGTGGCGGCGGCGATGACGTCCACAACGACGACGACGACCACGACGACCACGACGACCACGACCACGACCACGACGACGACGACGACGACGACCACGACGACCACGACGACCGACGACAGCGGGCGCCACCCTCCGCGGGCGGGAGCTGACGTCGCCGGGTCGGCCGAGGGATGCGGAGTGCGCTCCCCAGATCTCGCGGCTACGCGTGAGAGTGGTCATTTGCCAGAGTGACATGTGGATCTGGCCTTTTCCCATGCTGGCGGTTTTTCCTCGATTTCGGCGTCGATGTCGGGCTCAAGGTTCCTCATGAGGTTGAGACAGGCGTTTTCTCTTCATCTCGGCGGATGTCCAGCCTCGGGGTGCGTTCCAGCGGCCGCGCCTCGCCGAGAAATGTCCCAGAGGTGTCCGAAGCGTTCCGGACGGCGGCTGGAGGCCCGAGCTATGGCCCCACAGCCAAGCGATCTCCGACGATACGATTTGCAACCGGCAATTGTTCCTCGGTCTCGCCTCCCGGGCCCGTCATCGGGCCCTGGGGCCACCAAGAGCGGATCCTGGGCGAACAACTACCTCCGGGGAAACGGCCGGAGACGAGACGATCGAGGAGGAGGAGGAGGAGGGGAAGGAGGAGGAGGAGGAGGAGGAGGAGGAGGAGGAGGAGGAGGAGGAGGAGGAGGAGGAGTAAGAATAGGAGTATGAGCAGGAGGAGGAGGAGGATGAGGAGGAGGAGGAGGAGGAGAAGGAGGAGGAGGAGGAGGGTGTACATGGCCCTTCCCCCCACTACTGGCTTGTTCGCTCAGGCTTGCCCCCCCCCTTCGCGGCCCCCTGGGCCCCGCTCCCCGGAGGTCACTCTCGCCTCGGGTCGCTCCTCCGCGGAGCCGAATCTCTGGCGGCGTGAGTTCTTCTGTGCTGGTGGTCGTGCGTCGACCTCGGCCACCAGGGGCCCGCCCTCGGGGATCGCGTCAGCGGCACCGCGACGGGTATTCCAGCCTGCTGTAGCCTTGATCGCCCCAGTGAAGTTCGAGCACCAAGAAAGTACCGCAGCTGGAGGGTCTTCATGTGTCGGGGCCTGTGGGGCGATGCTCGTTCGGCACTGTTTCGATACTCCTACTGGGTGCTCGAGATTATTTCTGGGATGTGGTCCGCAAGTACGATCGGAGCAACGTAACACTAACGGGTCCTTAGGAGATTTGCCGAACGTTGCTGCTTTTGGGCCTCTTTCTGGCATTGCAGCGTTGCCCACATCGGGGAGGGTTGGTTTCGCCGGGTCACTGACCAAACGGCCCGTTAGTGGAGTCCCCGTGAGAGGGGCGCTGATCGCGGGTTCGAGGTTCGAGTTTTGAAGGCATTTTCGTTGCAACGCCGCGGATTTCCAGCCTCGGGATGCGTTCCAGCGGCTGCGCCTCGCCGAGGAGCGCTGATGGGTGTCCAGGTCGTCCCGGCTGGTGGCTGGAGACCCGAGCTGTGGCCCGAACACCGTGAGATCTCCGGCGATCGGATGTTTCAACCGGCAATTGTTTCCTCGGTCCCGCCTCCCGGGCCTGTCATCGGGCCTGGTGGCCACCAAGAGCGGGTTCAGGGCGAGCAACTACCGGGTCGAAGGGGTCCGGGACCTCCCGGGCCATGCGGGCCGCGGAGTCCAACAGCACTGTCGGCGGATGTCAGGGGAATACGGCATGATCAGCAGAGGCTGCGATCATTTTGCTCGTGTCGTCTTCTGCTCCTACGTGCTTTCTGTGCCTTCATGCTTGCGGAGAGCTGCGAGTGGTGAGCATGGGGGCCTGGGGGTGCAATCGGGAAGAAGTACAACAAATTTACTGGCATCACACTTTCCGATGTCCAGGCGGACCTTTTGGATCGACGCTGACCCGCCCCCTGACGCGCGAAGCACGGCAGGAGGCCGCGCCCGGGGTGCAATCAGGCAGAGAATAGAAACGGCATGAGCATAACTCCTTCGGAGATCCGCTGGGATCTTGTGGACCACGGTTGAACTGGACGCGGTCCTGGACCCGACCTAAATTCCCCAAACCCTCTTTCTCAGTGCAGAGTCTGACTAACCATTGGATCACTTACAGGCTGGCGATGGGCCTTTATTCAGACCCAGATCGTGCCCCTCGTTCGCCTCCCTACCCTCGCCCTCCTCCCCATCCTTGTAGTCCTCGTCCTAGTCGTCGTCCTCCCCGCCATCCCCCGGCATCCGCCGTCTGACTTTTTCCCACCCTCCTCCGAGAGGTGCCGACCGCTTCCCAGGGTCTGCCCTGTCGCCCCGACTCCTTTCTTGATGATCCCCGGGCCCGATCGCTGGCCCCCCAGGCTGGCATCGAGGAAACCACTGCTGACTGCCAACAGCACATCGTCGGAGGGTTGGGTCCTCGTCGTCCCTCGTTCTCGTCTTTGCCGCTGCCGTCCTCTCCATCCTCGTAGTCCTCGTGCACGTCGCCCGCCGCGGCCGCCCTCTTTCTCTTTCTGCGGCGGGGTGCCGCCCCGCGATGCGTCAGGTGGGGGAGGCACCCGCTGTGCCACCAGGGGTGATGGGCTGCTTGGCGCCTCTTCCCCCCCGCCCCCCCCCCACTCTCTCTCTCTCTCTCTGTTTTTTTGTCTCTCTCTCTCTCTCTCTCTCTTTCTTTTTTTTTGTTTTTCTCTCTCTCTCTCTCTCTCTCTCTCTCTCTTCTGAGAGGAGGAAACTGTACCACCCATACCGCTACCCTTCCCTTCCCTCTCTTCCCCCCCTTTAGCCTCCTTGAAGGCCCTCGTCGCCACCGCTAGATTCGCTTCGAACTTCTGGTCATAACGTACCCCAGGAGAGGTCCAGGCAGTAGCGGTATCGGTACTTCTGGGTTTCCCCATCTTTGCGCATGTCGGCGCGCCGCACGACATCTCCACGAGTGTCGCATGCTGGTTCTCACCGCCGTCCTCCCCGTTCTCGCCGCCCACCTCGTACAGCAGCTACTGTGCACGAGCGTCTCAGCGCAGCGTGTTCAGCTTCACGTCACATCCCGTACACGCGAGGCCGAGTCCTATCCTACGCGAGCGGGGGCGGTGGTCAAGCAGGCGGTGGCAAGGGCGGGGCGGCAAGGGTGGAGGTCGAAAACAGCCGAACGCCGCCCCAAAACCTAGATCATCCAAGTTCGATCCAATGCCCTCACTGTAGTTCTTGCAGTCGCCCTCCTCCCCATCCTCACCGTCCCTCGCCGTCGTCCTCGCCGCCGCCCTCGGCTCACCGTGTTCAGCACAGCGTGGTCAGCTTCATGCCACACCCCATACGCGCAGGGCTGAGTTCTAACCTGCCCTGTCCTGTCCTCGCCGTCCCTCGTCCTCGCGCAAGGCTTAGTTGAAATTGCCGCCGCCAGCCCTCGCCCTCGCCCTCGCCCCGCCATCGCCCTCGCCGTCGTCGTCGTCGTCGTCGTCGTCGTCGTCGTTGTCGTCTCTGTCATTCTCGTCTTCATTCTCGTCGTCATCCTCGTCGTCGTCGTCGTCGTCGCTGTTTTCGCCCATCGCTTTTTTTCTCGCCCCTCGCTCCCCTGCCGCGGCCCACGGCGCACTCAGGCCAGCGGCTGCTCGCAGAGCGTGTGCTCGCAGCCCTCCTGCTGCTCGGAGGCCCCCACGGCGGCCAGCCGGAGCCCCCGCCAGCGCCCGGCGAAGGGGGCCCGCGAGGCGGACGCGCCCAACGGCGGCCAGCGGCGAGATCCACAACGCGAGCTCCCCCCCACCACCTACGCGGGAGGAGGAGGGGGAGGAGGAGGGGGAGGAGGAGGAGGAGGAAGAGGAGGAGGAGGAGGAGGAGAGGAGGAGGAGGAGGAGGGGAGGAGGAGGAGGAGGAGGAGGAGGAGGAGGGGAAGGGCGAGAAGGAGGAGGAATATGTCATGAGGGGAAGGAGGAGGAGGAGGAGGGGGAGGAGGAGGAGGAGGAGGAGGAGGAGGAGGAGGAGGAGGACGACGAGGATGTTAGAGGGAGGAGGAGGAGGAGGAGGAGGAGGAGGAGGAGGAGGAGGAGGAGGAGGGCGAGGATGAGGAGCACGAGGACGATGAGGAGGACGAGGAGAAGGAAAAGGAGGAGGAGGAGGCGGGCGTGCGGGCCGCGTGGTAATGTTTGACACAAGCGGCGGGCGCGCGATCCGTGTCGCACGAATGGGCACGCGCGCGCGTGTGGCCCGTATGGTCTCTATTTGCAGACTTGCAAAGCAAACGTGTGCGGTTTCAATGTGCCACGGGGTGCGCGCGCATAGAGGACAAGGGTTGCTGCTAGCCAGTTTGGCTCAAGCCATCCGGCCGAGGAGGGGCAGGACCGTCGTGCATCTCCAAAGACGCCCAGAGGGCGGGAGGAATCTTGGCATCGACGTCTACGCGCCCACAAAGGACAGGATCGACTGCTGATACGAGTGGTGGCAGCAGCAAATGATTTCAACAGCCACCACAGGGCGCACAGGCAGCAGCACCTGAAGGGCGAGATGTCGCAGAAGGGAAGCTGGCAGCGCCGCGGGAGCTCGGGAGAAAGGTGGTCAGGAGCAGGGACCACACACCTCAAGCCCCGCACGAGCGGAGCTGGCAAAAAGGTGGACAGGAACGGGGCCCACGCGCCCAAGCTCCGATCGGGACTCTGGGGAAAGGTCGTCAGGAGCAGGGACCACGCACCCAGCCCCCGCGGTCGGTGCTCAACAAGTACCTGTTAGAGGGCGCCCTGGAGACTGGAAGAACCAGCAGCAGCACAGCGGGAAGGACAAGGCCCCTTGGAGGAGCAGCCCGGCCAAAAGAACGGGCAACGGAGCAGGAAACGGAATCAGCAGGAGACCCACAGCTCAGAGCACGTCGGCAATTTCCAGTACACCCAACGGCAGAATAACGTGCTGAACGGCATCACCCCAATGCCGCTTGCGACCGCGATGGAGCACGAGAGCTGGAACACGCCGCCCCGCCGACGAGGAGATGATGCTCGTATGGTAAAAGACGAAGTGCCAGCGGCTGGCGCGACTGGCTGAGAAAATAGTGGGGGGCCAGAAGCGCTGGGTCGATACCAAAAATTTAAAACAAAAGGCAGCCATCACAGCAACGAGCGTCTCTTTCGTCCTCCCCCCGACGGGGAGGATAAAACAGCTGAGAAGCACCCTGGAATGACTAGAGGAGGAGCGCGCGTGCCTGGAGAAGCAGACCAACCAGATGCTAGATCAGAAAGCCAGAGCATCACACTCAATCGAGGTCTACAGACACGGATGAAGGATACGATGGACCAGACGGCTAAAGAAGTTGGAATCAAGGCGGGGACGTCGGATGAGGACACCATCGCAGTGCCCTGGAGAGGGCGAAAACCATACCCTACAGCTAGATCGAGGCAATCTCCCACGGCCAGGGCAGCCACGCCCAACCGCCAGCGCGAGAGGCCGAAAGATAATGAGGAGGACGCCAGGGACACTCTCAGAAAGATCAACGGGCGCCTCGACCAGCAGCAACAACGGGCGCAGCACAAGCAACAAGAGCAAGCCGCCGAATGGAGCAGAAAGGAGCATGCCATGGAGGATGCACCCAAGAAGCAGGAGCAGGACACAGAAAAGGCGAGGCAGCAGCTCAGGGGCGCCGAGAAGACGTACAAAGAGCAGCTAAACATCCACGAGGAGGCACCGCAGTGGGAGATGGGTATGCCCACGGAGAGGTTCAACGCCAAGGTGGAAGAAGTGGCGGCCAAGGTATTCGAAGCTGAAAGAGGCAGCAAACTAACCCAGGAGGAAAGAACGCTGGCCATGGTGAACGACGTGAGAAGCCACCTGGGGCAGGAGAAGCTGAAGCTGCAGCAGGAGCTGCGCCAGGAGGGCAAGAAGAGGACTGCTTTCTGCGCGCAGCCGATGGTGAAAGCGAGGCATGAGGAGATACATGTCAGACAAATGGCAGCCCGAGGTGCACAACGGCATGGCTTAGGGCGAAAAGAAGCAGAGCAAGCCAGAAACATGATGATCCACGCTGAGCAGGAGCACCTCAGGGCAGAGCACAGTGCGCACCGAGAAGAACAACAACACATTGCTGTCGCGAGTGAAATAATTAATGCCCAGAATGTACCCGGATAAATACTACAAGAAGGACTGGGCCATGAGAGCGCTGCAGCAGGAGCACGCTGAAATGGACTAGGTCGCGCAGGCGCGGTAAGTGGAACTGAAGGTGCCTGGAGCAGTGCGGCGAGCAGCGAGCGCAGACCCACTACCTGAGGCAGCGCAACGAGCTGCTGCAAAGAGGGCATGAAGAGGCCGCAGCGCAGGCTAGACGCGAGGAGCTGCGCGCCAAGAAGAAGCAGTAGGCAGCGCGTCCCGAGCTGCAGACCATCAGACAGCAGTGTTACCACGAGACGCATAACATCCAGCAGCAACGCGGCACCCTGCAGCACCATAACGCCATGCAGCACCAGCAGCAGATCCAGGCCACCGGGCGGCAGCATGGGCGACGCGCAGCAGAACCCCAAGAAGCCTTGATGCGTGCCTTGGGCACACGAGAGCAGATTGACATATATATCTTGGGCGAGATGGCCATCAACGTCCAGGACGACATGGAGGCCCACGACAGGGGCCAGGCTATGGTGCAGCAGGAGGAACGTCATCAGCTCGAACAGCTCGAGGGGGGGCCTCTCCAGTCATCAGCTGAAAGGCGCTATACAAGTCGACAGCAACAGTATTAGGAACGCCGACAATATCCACGCCTTCAGGGAGGACTTCAACAGGGCACATCTATCAAAGTGGAACCTGGACGTGAAACACAATTTCCACGATACCTCTGAGCTCATCGCCGACAGGGCCAACAACGACTTCGCGCGGGGACCACCCGCGCCCTGCAACGCCACCATCACGCCGGCAAGTCTTCGCCTTTTGAGATGCGCAGGTACGCTGAGAGCTCCGCGCGGATCTATGCTAAAACAGGCGACCACGTACCGCTCGCAGTTCCCAGGAAGAAGATGCGCCGCGAGGTCTTGCTGCGCGCGCGCCCCGAGGACAGCTGGTACTCCGCGGCGGGGGTGCTGGCAAAGGCTTGCGAGCTGAGCGCGGACGCGAGCGGCCTGGGCATAGCGCGCGACGCAGCGAGGGAGTTCATTGCTAGCGCCAAAGGTATGTTCAAGCATCAACCCAGCAACGACCGCAACAAGTATTTCACCAACCTAGCCGCCAAATTGACCGACGCCCGATGCGCGAAGGGCGCCAGGACCGAATGGCAAACCGATCAGAGGATCCTGGCACGCGGTGGGAGGAAGCCGAAGTGCGAGAATGCCGCCCATCTTTTAAGCGCGCCGGCGGCTCAGTCATGGCCGCGCAGTGTGGGGCCAGCAGGGCCACCCTCAAGCACTTCGCGAGCATCGAGTGTGCGGACGTCACAGACAAGTACGACCTCACAGACGCATGCAACCGCAGCCACGGCAGCAGATGGCCACCCGGCGAGGTGTCGCACTGCTTCATCATGCCGCTCAACACGCGAGTGGAAAGCTTCGCGGACAGCAAGAAGGGCAGGGCTGGAGGGCCCGACGGCAACCTAGACGACGTCCCCAAGCTTGCGCCCGAAGAGACGGCGAAGCACTGGCACCCAGTCATCATGAAGGCGGTCATGCGAGGCAGGGGCCCGATTCAATTCTAGACGCTTCGCGTGTCCCCGCCAGTCTCTGGCTCCTGGATTGCATCGGCCCCGCCGCCCTGGACGCTGTCGTGAGCCGCCTGATCCGCGGCCCCGCGCGCGTTAGGTAATTTAGTCGCGGCCGCGGCCCGCCCGCGACCTCCCGCCGCTGGCGCTTCCGCCTGCGGCTGTAAAAAAAAGTGTTCCCGCCAGCCGGCCCAGAAACGACGCCCAGGCGAGTAGAGGGCCGTCCTGAGGGGCTTTTCGGCGTCTTGGGTGCCGCGGGGTGGCCTCTTTGGACCGCTTGGGATCCTCTTGGGGGCCTCCTGGGGGCCTCTCGGGGGCCATCTTGGGGCCTCTTGGGCGCTTCTTGGGGTCATCTTGGAGGACGTCGATCAAGGACGAGGGGAGCTTCAATTCGGGTTGCCCCCCCATGAGGCCAAAAAAGGAGCCCAAACCATTGTGAAATCAATGATTTTGGCTTCCTCGCCGAGGCCTTTTTGGGCGCCCTGACACCTCCCCGCCCCTCCCGCCCAGGTCCACGGGGAGGGGGTAGGGGGAAGGGTAAACACCTCCCCGAAGGGGAAGAGGGAGGGGTGGAAGAGGGAGCGCCCTAAACCACCGACACCCAGAAGCTGGTTGGATTCAAGGGGGGCCTCGCGGTGATCTGCACAGGGGCAGCTGCGCCAGATCGTTATCATGGTTCTACCGATCGAGCCTTGGATTGGTACCCATCAGGCTCTGCGCGCATAGCTCGTCGCCCCTCGCCTGGAAGAACGTCGCGTCGTGGGCCTCTTCCAGCTGGTGACGCAGGTTCTCGTCGACTTCGTGCGAGGCCATTCCCTGGAGCGTTGACCAGGTGCTAGATTGCCGGCGTGAGCCATTCAGAAGGGTGACATCCTGCCATGACTCGGCTGAGCCCAAGCTTCTCGCCCCCTTCCCTAATGCGAACTCGTGGATGACGGAGTGGGGCGCCTGTCGTAAATCCAGCAGTATGGCTACAGCGGTGAGGCCCTTGCGCTTGCAGATCCTGAAGAAGGCCTGGATGGCGTGAGTTGAGTAGGCGACTGACTTCTTCGGCATGCCGCCGCGCTGCGAGTTTCGTAGCAAACTGCCGCAG